AGCCACACAGCCAGGCTGCAAGCTTGGAAGGCAGGGATGGGATGAGCATCCTTGCTACATACAGCTGGACTGAAGGCAAATTGTTTCCTGTCTGTTAGTGTCCCATTTGTGCTTATGCATAGTGTGCTTATGGCTACAGTTGCCACACAGATTCTGGGCTACCAAACACTCTTAGGGATGGGGGCCTCCTGCTCCTCCCTCCCTGCCCCTCAAATCTCCCTTCCCCCCACCATGTTCTCTGCATCTCCTCCCTTCCCAGTGCTGGGCACCAGGACCTCTCCTGGTTGGGGGACCTCATTCATTCTGAAGTCAATGCTACAGGAGAGGCTCTTTCCTTGTCCCATTCTGGGGGGTAGGGTACGGCAGGAACTGAGCAGCCCTGCCCTGGTGGAGCCAACCTAGCAACCGAGGAGGCAGAAAAACCATGAAATATCCACGTGCGCCGAGACAGGTGAGCGGGTGAGAGGGCAGGCAGGGCCTGGCAGTCGCCAGTTCACACAGGTGCAGGAGGAGGGCAGGGAGGGGGCAGGGAGAGACACGTGTGCACCGGGGGCAGATCCTCCATGCAGAGAAAGCAGCCAGGACCAGGACAGGGGCCCGGCCAAGGCACACACAGCGAGGCAACTGGCGAACAGAGCTCAGGGCGTGGGCATCACAGGGTTATGCGCTCATCAAGGACACGCTCCACACGTATTTTAAAATGGAGCTCTGGTGGTCCAGTGCCTAAAGCATTTCACTGCTAACCAGAAGGTTGGTGGTTCAAACCCACCAGCCACTCACATCAGAAAGACTGGGCAATCTACTTCCATAAAAATTTACCACTTTGGAAACCCAAAGGGGGTCACTATGAGTCGGAATTGACACGATGACAGTGAGGTTTTGTTTTTTTTTCCCCATAACATACTACACAAAAACACTGTTCTACATCCTAATTTGGTGAGTAGTGACTAGGGTCTTAAAAGCTTGCAAGCGGCCATCTAGATGCAACAATGGGTCTATCCTCATCCAAAGCAAAGGAGAATGAAGAAAAGCAAAGATTCATGGAAACAATTAGTCCAAGGGACTGGTACACCATGCAGTTCTCAGCCTATAAGACTATGAGACCAGAAGAACTAGATGGTGCCTGGCCACCACTGTCAACTATTCAGAGGAGGGGATCTATGTAGGAGACCCTGGAAAGAGTGGAAGAACAATGTGGAATATAACTCAAAATCATAAAAAGGACCAGGTTTGCTGGTCTGACAGAGCCTGGTGAGACCCCCAAGACTATGGCCCCTACCTACCCTTCAGGCCTGGGACTAAACTCACTCCTGTGGCTTCCAGCCAAACAACAGACAGGCATATGGGGGGAACATTGACACCAGGTAGATACACTCCTTGGAGCGATCAATCATGGTAGACCAGAAGGGCAGTGTTTGCACAAGGAGACAGCTTGGGGGACGGAAGTGCATGGGAGGGAAGGACACAGGGAAAAGGTAACTACAGGGAGGAAGTGGGAGGGGAGCTGGTTACATGGTGGGGAATTGCAGTAATGTCATGAGACAAAAGTTGTATGAACTGCTGTACGGAAAATGAATTTGCCCTGTAAACTTTCACCCAGATCACCATTTAAAAATTTAAATAAATAAAATGGGTCTTCTGGCTGTTCACGGCAAAGCAATTGTGGGAGAGATCGGCTAGGAGCCAGGAGATCATGCCCAGGTGGCCAACGGGGGCCTTCAGCACTGAAGGGCCAGGTAGTGTCTGGGCCCAGGTCAAAACCCCCAGGTCCAAGGTCAGGGTGCCATCAGAGACCAGTCCTTGTTGGGGCTGAGGGTGTGGGCACATCAGGCTTGGCCATGTGCCAACATCCCCCCCCTTGACCCAGGGAAACAGCTCCCAGCCACAAGGATCCCGGTGACCCTCGGGCCACAGAGGGTGTATGGCAGCGACACTTACTGACGAGAGAAACTGAGTGTATTCAGCCCAGTTAAGCTCCTGCCTGGGGCCGACCCTGCGAAGGTCCACATTTCAGCCCCACCTGAGGCAGGCTCCCAACCCTTCCCAGAGTCCTGGTGTGCCCTGTCACACGTCCCTGGCTCCCTTGAGCACATCAGTGGAGAAGGGAGAGAGCGAGGGACAGAAGCCCTGCTGAGCTCTCTGCTTGGAGCTCTCACCTCTTTCCTGGCTTCTCAGACTCATCTCCCAGGTCAACAACCCCTCCAGGAAGACAAGACCTGCCCTCCTGTCGCCCACAACACCCTGGCCCATCTGTACGGCTTCCCCTCGGGCAGGCCCACCCCAGGTGAGTAGATTACAAGGAAACATTCCAAGGGAAGCAGTGGCTGCTGGGACCGAGGGTTAACCTCGGGCCATTATCTTTAATTCACTAATTCATTTATTATTTATATTTTTGCAGTGTCCCTGCCCCTCCCCGCCTCCCCCCATAACCACAAAGAAAGTTTCCTACTATATTTGGGAGCTCTGGTGGCATAGTGCCTGAGGCATCTGACTGCCAACCAAAAGCCTGGTGGGTTTGAACCACCAGCCACTCCTCAGAAGGAAGATGGGGCAATCTACTTCCATAGAGATACCGCCTCGGAAACCCGAGGAGGGGTCGCTATGAGTCGGATCCAACTCCACAACAATGTTTGTTTTTTACATATAAACCTTTCTTTGGCTTTTTACAATAATGAACTAATACAATATTTGTCCTTCTGTGATTGACTTATTTCACTCAGCATAATGTCCTCCAAGTTCATCTATGTTATGCACGTTTTACAGATTCTAGGTTACTCTTTAGGGTTGCATAGCATTCCATTGTGTGTATGTACCATAGTTTGGTTATCCATTCCTCAGTTGGACACCTAGCTTGCTTCCATCTTTTGGCTATTGTAAACAGTGCTGCAATGAACATGGGTGTGCATATGTCTGTTCTTGTCCTGACTCAAACTTGTTTAGGATACATACCTAGTAATGGAATGGCTGGGTCAAATTAGAAATTGGTATTTCTAATTCCAACTTTTTAAGGAATCATCAGGCCATTATCTTTGGCCAAGGAGCACCTGCCACCATTTCACTGGGGACGCTTTGAGCCATGGAGGTGTGACCATCAGCAAGCCATAGGCTCGCTGCCAGGAGCTGATCACAGGGTTGGAAAACCCTCGTGGGAAGTGGGACACACAGGAAGTAACACCCTGTCCTTCATGCCTTCTCAGCTGCAAAGTGTGGGGTGGCAAGGCCCTGGGGGACATGTTGGGCAGCAGCACCTGGCAGGGGTGACAGCCAGGGCAGCTGTGTTTCTTTCAAAGCTGTATCCGCTCACTCAGAACAAGAGGGACTTTTTTGTGTGTTTTTAAATAGTGATTTGGGTGAAAAGTTTACAGAGCATGTTGGTTTTCTATTCAATAATTCATACACATTTTGTTTCATACATTCATTACAACGCCCATGACGTAACAGCCTCTCCCCACTTCCTCCCGCGGCTCCCATTTCCCTGTATCCTTCTTTCCTGCCCCTTCCTGCCTTCTGAGCCTTCTCCCTGGGCACACGCTGCCCTTTGATCTCATAGGGTTCATTGTCCTAATGAGTTTGTAGCTCCCTGGTGTTACTGTTCACCTAATAGGCCTGTCTATCGTTTGGCTGAAAGTTGAGCCACAGGGGTGAGTTCCGTTCCTAACATGAAGGGTGTCTAAGGGCCGTTGTCTGGGGGTTCAAACAGTAATAGAGTCATTTCTGTGTGTTCCCCACTGCACATCACACGGAAGGGTTGAGTAGGATCTAGGCGATCAGCTTGGGCTTTACAGAACAAGTCCAGAGAAGCTCTGGGAGGGGCCAGAAACCCAAGGGTCAACACTTGCTGCTGAATCTGAGAAGTACAAAAGCACACAATGTCCGCCACACCAGCACAGTGAGACTCACAGCGCCCCTAGAGGACAGACGATCTCCAACGCTGTCAATCTCCATGGAAGCAAAGCCCAAACAAAACTCACTGCCATGGGCCTTGGGGTTTGGAACCATAGCCTCGTCAGGGGACATCATCCTCAACTGGCACAATACAGCACATAAAAAGCTTGCTCTGCACCCTACTTTGGTGAGTACTGACCAGGGTCTTAAAAGCTTTTGGCCATCATCTAAGACGCAACTATTGGTCCCCTCTCGTCTATAGCAAAGAAGAGTGAAGAAAATCAAAGGCAAAATCAAATTTGGAAACAATTAGTGCAAAGATATGATGGGCCACGAGGACCTCAGCCTCCACAACCCCAAGACAAGAACTAGATGGCGCAGGGCTACCAATGGCAACTGCTCAGCAAAGGATCAAAACGGGAGGTCCTGGTCAGAGTGGGAGGAAGAATGTGGGACAAAATTCAAAAACACAAAAATGACCTGAATTACTGGCCAGATAAGAGACTGGTGGAACTCCCGAGACTATGGACCCAAGTTAGCCTTTTGGGCTAGAAATGGGCTTGCTTCCGTGGACTGGTTCTCAGCCCAACAGTAGAAAGACCTACATGCAGAACACCTACCCCAGGGCAATGCACCCACCTATGCTATTAAGATGCACCTCTGACATCAATCAGCCACGAGCCATCAGGGGGGCAGCATTCACAGAGAGGGAAAGCTGGACAGACGGGAATGCAGAGCTAAGAAGGGCACGGGGTGGGGGGGTGTCACGGGGAGGAGAGCTTTTCATGGTCGGGGACGGTAATTGGGCCGTGAAATCAATGTGTATGAACTGCTGAATGTGAAATAAATCTGCTTTGTAAAT